GTCTCGAGCCCAGGTCTATGCCATCTATAAAAAGCCTAATCGCTGTTAAGGGCTCCGCAAAACAGTGGCGGAAATATTAGATCGTTATAGCCTTTGTTTATGAAATGGAAGCTTTCAGGCAGTTAGCACGACACTTTGGTACTCGTTCTAAAATGTGAGCAAGGTGCTGTGTAGTGGGAAGAGGGCGAAAAAACGAAAAGTCAATAAAGGAAACAGTCAAGAACATGCGAAGAAAAGCCTTCATTCTTAATGACTCAAAAAGCATTTCGGACGAGTTTCCCGTAGGCATCTTGCCAATAACCGCTACGGTAGGTACGGCTGCACTATGTACTCATATATCCATGCAGCACCCGCTTCATACCAATCCCTTCCTTCGCGGTGGGCGTCCGGGTGGGTATGTTGCAGCTTGATAGGGCGCTATAAGGGTACCTCCTTTGGAAAATGCGCCTGCTCACTGGCGTGGAATTCCGTTTTGGCAGGCTTATTAACCCCACTCATGTTAACTTATCCTGCCAACTGCCTTTAATCTCAAAACAGATCGTTTAATCACAAAGAAATGTGAAAAGACCTTATCGCCAGCCCAATAACACTCATTTGGAACTGTTCGATTCTGATCATCGAGCAAAGGAAACTCTTTCCGAAAGCCATCAAGATGAAGCCGTGAGGCAATGGAAGGAGCATTTATCCATACTGTACCGTATCCATTAAGTACAGTTCATGAGCACAGAATTTATTGAGAGACCGTGGTAGCACACTGTTGGTGCATGCGCAGTCTTGGATCAGAATCCCGAAATGTCTCACTTTGCGCCAATGAATGCTTCATTGCTCTGGGTTTGCTGAGCTAGGTCCAGACTTGTCTGGGAGGATAAATATGTTGTTGGGCAGGCTAAATCACATTCAAATGCCTTCTGAGGCTTTGAAATGGCACTCATCTAGGGCAAACTTATGCAGGGCACATTTTGAAGACCTGTGCACCTTGTAATTAATGCAGCCGTACAGTATGCTCACACCAATTCATATGTTCTAGGGAGCCGAACGTCGCACGATAAAAGGCCCCATCCAACCCTTTGTAAGAATAAACAAGTCACACTCATAACCCCAAGCCACGGTTCCAAGGAGACCGAACCTGGAGACTTCATGTGCACATTTCTTGGGCACGAATTTTTCCTTCTCCCCTTTTTCACCATGAGGGACAGTTACCGCAACCAAATTATTCGCGGTATGCCTCAGTGCATTGGGCATTCAGGTCCGTATTCGCACAGGAAAGTGCCACTGTCGTCATTCAAAAGGGGCGAGATGAAGCGGCTTACGAGCGCATCACTTTTAGGGGCTTAGATGTTTTCACTCTACAAAACAACGACTTACACACTGAATTACACAGTGCACGCATTCTGTTGCCTGCAGCCCAGGGCACATCGTTGTTGGCGATTCCCCAAAGGGGGTCGTATTCCCTTCTGATCTTCCGAGAGAGGTTGCTGACTTATCGTGGGTTTTTCCTGTTTCATAAGTTCTATATATCCTCCTCCCCCTCCAACTCGATAGCAAAATTTTTGGGAAATTCCGGAAAAAGTGGTAGGAATTGGGGAAAGTCTAAGAAATTCAGAAATGGGAGAGAGGGGGTCGTATCCTGCTCGACAACTGATGTGGAGGAAACCAGGGAAGGGGACTCGTACCACCCCCCTAAAAAAAGGTGGTACGGACTCGACAAAATTCCCCAACCAGCAAAAGAAGGGCAGAATGGCGCTCTTTGCAGGATCCCCTTTCCCTGCATACTTTTTTTTTGAAAACAAACAAGCAATAACAGTTCACCTCGCAAGGCATGATGCGTTTTGGCGGTGATTACATTCAGCACTGATGCAGTCCGTATTGATGCAAAGGCTCGTCGTGAGCTATATACCGTAGTCCGAACTTCAGGCTAATGCCGTTTAGACGCGCTGACTTTTGGCGGCGAGATCGTTTTAAAGTGCCTAAATCACCTGATCCGCCGAAACCTTGTATATAGAGGTAATCTAACATCCTGATTACGACTACGACAATTATTCTTGGCGCTGGCGCTAATGGAGAACACTACGATTATCTGCCCTCTGCTAAAGCTGAACCCAGAAGATAATCGTAGTGTCCTCCATTAGCGCCAGCGTCCAAGAATGAATGTCATATTTGTGAACAAGATGTCAGATTACCTCTATATACAAGATTGCGGATTTGGTGATTTAGGCACTTTAAATTTATCTCGCAGCCAAAAGTCAGCGCGTCCAAACGGCATTAGCCCAAATTTCATGCACAGACTTTTCGGGTGCTATTCTCTGCTTTATGCTTTTCAATTAGGTTTTTTCTTTAGTTCTAGATGGCATTTAGTAGTGGAAGATGCGCAGAAACGATTCGGAAGCTAGGAGCTGCACAGAGTTTGTATGAAGTTGCCAGCAAGTGCGGAGAACTCGTACAATGTGGCTGTGCGACTGTCAGAAAGGGTTTTTGTTTGGGGTTTCTCAAGGCTTCTTCTTCTTCTACTGGAGATTCATCTATGGGTCACTGCCTCATCAAATGAACACCTGTACAGTCGTCATCCTTGCACTTGATAGTCAATGTCAGTGCGGCTGCGTGCGGCGCGGTCGCCCGCACCCGTACTGCACCAATCGTTGAACCAGGAAGTGACATTACTGTATTATATCCTTCGTGTTACTCGTTTTCTATCACTTTTTGTCGCATACGCGTTTCAACGAAAAGGCTGAGAAGGCTTCAAACAGTGTGCACGCTCCTTCTCGCCGACACGCCCCTATCAAGTGCAAGGATGACGACTGTACCTTTAATACTTATTCTAGGGAGTTGTCTTGATGACGATGTCACGGAATCCTCCACACTCGCTAGACTGACCTTCCCTTATTTAATGCACCTTCTGGCAAAGTATGACATGATTTCCGTTAGCTTCCAGGTCCTGTGACTTCTTATTTAAAGGCACATTCCGCGATAAAATAAGGCTATGACCTCTCAAATGTGTCGGACGATCCGGAAGGCGATTTTTGAGGCTGCGCTACTTTCAAAATGTGAAAAACGGCAAGAACTCCGCTAGAAGCTGACTAATTAGGCCCATGGACACCCCTTAGGCCCATGCCGACCCTCACCGGCTGCTAGCTACTAGCTAGTAGCCACTATGTTATCTTTCTCTATAACATTTCGGACTGCTTTTTCTGCTGCTTTTCTCCGCTAATCAGATACTTAGCACTTTTTTGTGCCTATTGAGTTCCGTTTCCCGCAATTTGCGGTCGCGAACTGTGCCTTTAAGCTCGCCGCGGTAGCCTGCACTTCGATACAGTACCCACCCTAATTGTTCGAAAAAAAAAACGAAAAAAACGCCGATTCGCGTTTTTTTTCGTTTTTTTGCTAACTCAGTTTGTGTAAACTTTTCTCATATAGAACCCTATACTGTCAGACTCAGCTCGTCGAGTTCTATAAGATGGCATCCTAAAAAACTGGAAAAGTCGAAACTTGAACTCTGCCTACTAATTCGAAGTACGCATATGTCACTGTTTTCCACCAAGTTGTGAAAAGCACAAGACGTTCTGTATGAAGCTTTTTTATGGAATTCATGGGGCCACTCAGAGAGCTAGAAATCCTGTTTGAAAACGCTGAAAATCGAGCATTTGCTCTAGTATCGCACGGAAGTGCTCATTTCAAGCAGCCGAAAAACCCTTCTTTTTGCCTTCACTTCTTAATTTCGCGAATATTGGGGAAAACAGGGCTCCATACATTGGGCCCTTGTGCTCGTGTGGTCCGAACTGAACCAGTGCTCGAGATTTTTCGGACTGAAAAGGCTATATCGTCCGAAAATGACATCGAGCAAAACCCCACTATTTTCAGAAAATCGGCACCGTAATGATCAGCATCATTTGGGAAACACAACTATCTAATTTTTAATCACTTCTTACGCGATACAGTACGTTATTTGATTCCTGAATGATTTAATTCCCAACGATTACCCTCTGGTTACAATTATAGCGAGACTCGCTCGCTAACGAGTGTCCTCAGGTACTTCGACCAGGAAGCAGAGTTCAATTTTCGACTTTTTCAGTTTTTTAGGATGCCAGCTTATAGAACTCGACGAGCTGAGTCTAACAGTATAGGGTTCTATATGAGAAAAGTTCACACAAACTGAGTTATAGCAAAAAAAACGAAAAAAAAACGCGAATCGGCGTTTTTTTCGTTTTTTTTTCGGAACAATTAGGGTGGGTGCTGTACATGCAGGGGAGGCTAAAAGACACTTTTCTTCCTCGACTTTTAGGCAATATAAGTTACACTTTATTAAATACTGATTGGACATATTTACCACCATATTCAACAGCACATTGTACACTATCATGATACTCCGCCACGGGCGAGCGCCATCGAGAGATCATGCCCGCGACCGTGAATCGGTGCCTGAGTTTAGCGAGGTTGTGAACCTGTGACCAGGGAGACGGCCAGGAGTCACCGCCGCGCTCGAAACTAGGTCACCGCGCGCGGCGACCTGTTCGCGTGGCGCGGCGGTGAGTCCTGACCTGGCATTTTGCCAACTTCCGATCAATATGACCCTATCGCCATTTGCTTGGAGCGTTCTTTCTTTTCCTCATCTTCCATCTGCCAAGAACATGTCCAAACAGGTAAGTTGCGATGCGACGAACACTGGGAGAGGAATGATTTATTGAACCGGCACAACCCTTTTATGCATTCATCAATCACTATCAATCCTCTCTTCCTATCATCCTCACTCCCTCCATTCTCACATTCCTCACCGCTCCCCTACACCTCCCCCTAGTGACCACCCGGTCACTCCAAGTTCCTGGGGGAGCGGCCCTTCTCCACTCTACCACAGTAGACCACAAGTATCGCCGCTCTTTATGTATTGTCCTCATATTGTCTGACTTCAACACTGTACCAACACAACTCTTTATTAAAACACTATAGCTCCTCGTTGCCGCCGTCCCCTCGTACCGGGGACGACGACAACGAGGAGCTATAGTGTTTTACTATAGCTCCTCGTTGCCGCCGTCCCCTCGTACCGGGGACGACGACTCGGGCCTCCTGGCCCTACTTCGGGTACGGCTTCTACTACGGGTACGGGTTCGCTGGCGAGCCCGTCCTCGTCTAGCAGCCGCGTCCTCACTTCTACTTCGACTTCTTCTTCTTGGTCGATTCCGATTCCTGCTTCTCGAACGGCTTCTACTCGTCCATCGCCGATGTAGCTGCATCTCTCGCCGCAGGCTTCGCACCGCCGTCCACAGCGCTTTACTGCGCTGTGGACGGCGCCTTCTTCTTCCTTGTGATGGCGGGGCGGGAGCTCCCGGCTGCACGGCCACTGTGGCCATCACGGGAACTCCCCCCGCCCAGCTCGGCGTCCCTATCTGCAGGCCAGGAGGCTGCTGGACAATGATACAGGGGGGTTGTAGAACGGGGCTTGTCCCGTCCCCCCTGCAGCCGTAGTGGTCGGAAGAGCAAACATAACTGAGGGACCACACCCCTCCATCCATCTTTTATAAGCATCGCGGTGATAGTTGGTTACCCCCCATGCAGCCACGGGACAGGCACCCGCGGAAATGCTGATGGGAAGGAATTTGAGGACGACTCTGGATATACTCAGGACAGAGAATATAGAGTCCTCAAATAGGTATAGAGATACTATGAAGAAGAATTATGATAGAGGAAAAAAGGAGAGAAAGTTCAGCGTTGGACAAGAAGTATTTATCCGGAACTACACCGGGTCAGGGAACCGGTGGATACCGGGCATTGTAGTCAAAGTTCTAGGCTCCAGTACGTATGAAGTCCATTTTGGCATGGGAGTAAGAAAAACCCATGCGGATCAAATGAAAGAAAGGGTGATTCCGTGGGAGTTAGTAGATGAGGGATGGTTAGAGAAAAGGGACCGGAGAGTTCGTGTACAAGCTAGAGAACCTACCGAAATGATACCGCTCCGTCGATCTCAAAGGAAGCGGCAGGCTACCGCTAGGATGAAGGAGTTCCAGGAAAATGAGAAGCGCAGGAAATAAACTGGATAAGGATGTTGGGGAATGAAGACGAAAGTAAAAATAAAAGTTATCACCGCTCCCCTACAAGGTAGACATGTTCAAACATGCAAACATGTTAAGCATGTAATCGCCGCGCGCGGTGACCCACTTCCCAGCGCGGCGACCTGGTTTCGGGCGCGGCGGTGAGTCCTGACACAAACCAGTGGACCAGCCTGTTGAGCTCCGCTCGGACCCGGTAATTGAGGGGTTTAGGTCAGGTGACACACTTGGATATCCTTCTTCAGGTACTCAACGCCCTTCCATTCCAAGTAGGCGAGAGTTTTTCCAACGCCCTTCGATTCCATGTGGTGGCACCCAATCCTGTAGCAGTACAAAGTTTCCAAGATGGTACAGGCGACGACATGAAGGCAGGATATTCTTTCGAGTTGATCGATGTAACCGTCAGCGTTCACTTTCAGTCCGGGGTCCACGAAGAAAATATCGGTCCCATCACAGGAACTACCGCGCCATCAACCCGCGCCTTGGCGACTGCGGTGAAGATGATGTCCTGGACCGTAGCGACGTTGTCGGAGCTGCTCGATGTTGGAGGTCTTCCAGATTGAGAGTACTGGTCTCCAGGTAGCTATCCATGGGTGACTCCATACAAGAAGTTTCGCAGCTGTTTGGAGGTGACGTGAATTCCATAGGCTTCTCCAGTCCGGTTGCGATTGGAGATGACTTCATATTTTGGTGTACATGAAGGTGATGGGAGAGACCTGCTCCTGCTTATCGAGGAACATCTTGGGTATCTTCCGCCCTGGTACTCGTCCACGTCTTCTGTCTGGGCTGCGAAAACTTTACTGATATGTGACTCGGCCGAAGTGTCTTTTTTGCCCCCCCCCTCCTGTATGTGTGTACGAGACTTCTAAGGTAATATTCGCTGTTGGAAACAACAACAATGCCATGTGAATCCGAGTGTCCGAATCGGCGAAGAACGCCAGCGAACTCACGTGAAATCGCTCTTGACATTGCACGTCATTTAGTATTCTCTCTGTGATATTTTTTATATACCAAAAAAACTATCCCAAGTTCATATCATCATATGACCGCTCTTCAAGGTTGGTTCCAGGCACAGTGGACAAGGCTACAGGCGCAAGTTTTGTAAAGAAGTGCTCAACGAAGCGTTGAGAAGTGATGCTGGAAATCTTTCATGACAAACTACTGAAAAAAGCGAAGAACTTCCAACGAAAAATTGATAACGCTATCACTCATTCAAGACTGCGCACAACAAACCTTTGTACTTTCTAGACCAGCATAAATCAGCTTCGCAGGCTTTTGGCACCTCCCCCCCGTACGCAGCAAGAGGATCCGGGTAGGAACCCGGATATGCTGACGAAATGTAGGGCACAACATCTTGCAGGAATATTTCTCGATTCCGTGTTCCGCTTTGTTTCTTTGTCAGCAGTGCAATGTTCTTTGTCGCTTTCCTTTTCTTTTCTCTTTCCTTTATTACACTTTTTTTCGGAGAGCAGAACTGTACCTGCTTTTGATCAAGCACTATTCAATTGATAAGGTTTATCCTTACTGCAGAATAAAGCTTATGAGGTTATGGATCCTAAATTCTGCACTCGAGGGGTTCTATTGAGTAACAAACAACAATGCCATACAAACAGAGTCACAACTCAAAGGCATAAGCCAGGAAGAATTTTATTTGAGGGGAGTCACCACCCTAGCAATGAGAGGAGAACTCGGGCGTCATCAAAACACGGGCTTCGGGTAGCTTGCCGGGCGCTCTGTAATCGACGGGGGGGGGGGCATTTGTTTGCTTTCCCAATAGGATGGTCGACGCATCATGAAGGGCGTCGTCGAGTTTGACACGTTTTCGGGATGGTGGCTAGACGATCCTGCTCCAGCTTTACAAGAGTTCACAAGTTTTACCAAAGTGAGATCTGCAAACCGGAACAAGCGAAGCAGTGATAGTGCAAAATGCCCCCCCGTCGATAAACAGCGCCA